TTGGTGTAGAGATCATATAGCCTATCTGATAGAGCGTTGAGAATATGGCCACGGCATATGAGTTCATCTTTTTGGCGCTTTTGTCTTTTGGCTCTCACGGTATCGGTTTCTCCATTTGTTGGTTTCGGTAATGGTGCCAAATCCTGATCATGGATGTACAATATCTTCAACGCCTTTAGTAGGAACTTTAATTTATCTTGCCATCTCATGAAGTTGGTTCCATCAAAACGATCCAATCGAACAAGATCTTGATTCATCAACTTCATCGTCGCAATGATGCTTTCATTCTCCATTGTGCAAAGGTTATAGTTTGAGGTTGTTGGAAAATATATAATATACACAAAGAGGATTGGAGATAAAAGCAAAGAACGAAAACTAGGAAAAGATAAAAAAAGAAGTCTTGAACACGAAATCGTTGTCCTCAAACTATATTTACCCCATCTCGAATTGAAAATGATGCTTAAAGAGATTATGGCAAATGGTTTGCAGTTAATCAAGCCTTCTAAAGGATTTAACACTTAATCACTACTGAAAATCCTTCAAAACTTGAAGAACACACAATGGAAATTTTGAATATGTAAGAAGGGATTTTTGAATTCTATTATGTATGGAATAAAAATGTTTCCAAGAATGCTTATTATTACTTGCATTTGAACATTGATCACCTATATATAGACCTCAATATCTTTCCACGAAATGGTTCCAAACAGGGGCGGAGCTAGGAATCGAAGTCAGGGTGGGCACAATATATCAACAATACTAAAAATGACATTGTTTATAAAATTGGAAAGCTTTTCTTGACTATTTAAAATACAAAATTAAAGTGTGAATCTGATTTCTTTGCCATTAAATAATCCCCAACAAACTCCTTCCCCTCCATTTTTATTGATATCTCATTTCCAGTTCAGCATAAAAGCTCACTTAATTTGTTTCTTGAGACAAAAAAAGAAGGACAAACAGATGGAATGTGTGTACTTACCATGGCTGTTTTTGTCACAACTTTTTTTGTTAATCACACTGGTGCAGCAAAAGTTCCAGCCATTTTAGTGTTTGGAGATTCATCTGTTGATGCTGGGAATAATAATCAGATTTCGACTGTGTTGAAGAGCAATTTTAGGCCATATGGTCGAGATTTCTTTGGTGGGAAACCCACGGGGAGATTCTCAAATGGTCGTATTCCTCCAGATTTTAATTCTGAGGGATTTGGGCTTAGGCCATTTGTGCCTGCTTATTTAGATGGGAAGATTACCTATTCAAGAAAATAAGTTTAGCATATTTCAAAAATAAGAAAACACGTTTGAAATTTTCAAAATCAGATTTTTATTAAAACAGTTTAAATTTTTATTTATGAAATAATAAATTATTAAATTAATTTATTAGTAAAT